ATTATCAATTGGGCGACAAATTTTACCAAATATTTTAATTCCGACTGAAAATTTAATAAGATACGTGCACATGATGATCAATTTATTGATTGACATTATCTGCCTAAAATTGATTCCGACTGGAAATTAACAAGTCATCATGCTCATTATCTGCATAATATTTAAAATTCTTTTAGGTGAATTTCAGAATTTCGACCACATTGTTTTCAAATTGATTAATTTCAAAAATTATAAAATTACTAATGAATAACTAAATTAACAATACTATACTTTTAAGTTTTAACACACTTTAAAACTACTTTTGAAATCTTGTAAAAAAACTTACTAACACCCTTGCGAAGACCATTGTGAGTTTTATCAAAAGCCGCTTTCGCTATAAGCCTCAAGCAAGAAGTGAGAGCTCCTGATGCAGCGACTCCCGCAGAAAACGACTGCAATTTTGTTAAAAAAAAAAATAGTGATCATTTTTATATTATTTTTTCAATAAATAAATAAATAACAAAAAGTAGTTGCAATATATATATGTCCAAAGATTCTAAGAGCCTCTCCAACCCGTCGCTACTTCAGTGTAATTGCGCTAAATTAGCGCAAAATCTCCCTCCAATCCTGCGCCAGAATCCTGCGGCTCTGTGGCAGAATAGATAAATGAATAGTATTGCGCCACTTCTGACGCAATACTGTAGCTAACGCTACAATTTTTTTTTGTTTAATGTGTTTTAATATAATATTATTGATAATTTTTGTGTAATTTGTATTGGCATATGTATAAATATATATACATGTGATATATATATATATTATTGGTAATTGTTTCTATAATATGTAATAAATGTATTTATTATGTTAAATAACTTTGTGCTTTTTATTTATTGATGTAATAAATTTAATTTGCATTTTTTTACTATTAAAATTGATGTATATTAATTTTATTTTGTAATTTTTTAATATTAAAATACCACCAAAAATGAATATAAGATGAAATATACATATATTAGAATTTATTTGAAATAAAAATGAATAAAAAAGATAATAAATTTGAATCAACCGTAGGATTCTTATCTAAAGATCAATGGCTAAGATCATATATATACATAATAAAATTTGCACAAGATATGGTCTAAACCATATATGGTCTAGTGTGTAAATTTGCACTAATTCATATATTTTCAAAAGTAACAGTTTTGATTCAATCGGTACATAGATGTATATGTATCTTCTTTAAGAAATTCAATTTATTACAATTATTTTTTAAATGTGAAGATATGGTCTAAACCATATATGGTCTAGTGTGTAAATTTGCACTAATTCATATATGGTCTAAACCATATATGGTCTAGTGTGTAAACCATCATTTTTTTTTTATTTACTATTTGGGTAATAAACATTTATATAATATTACATATTCATATATATAGCAAATTATTCGAAATAAAAATAAATAAAATATATTTTTATTATTTGAGTAATTAACATTTTATATAAAATTAAATATATATATATATATATACCAATTTATTTGAAATAAAAAATGAGTAAAAAAATAATATATTTAATGTAGAGTAAAATGTAGAGATAAGGGCTGGAGATGAATGTTCAACTCTACTCTAAAGTAGAGTAAAGTCCGCGCTAGAGTAGAGATAAAGGCTGGAGATGGCCTAACGTTAATTTTGTAGTTGGATCCAATATTTTAAAATATGGTCTGGAAACACATAAAGGTTAATGGAAAGGTCTGGAAACACATAAAGGTCACATTAGAAAGATATATGTAGCTATTTGCTTCATATATTTATGTAGTCAAGTCAATAAAAAGGCCCCTAGTTTCGAAGGAAAATAGGAATCTCTTATTATATTTGTTATTTTCTCTCAGCATCTATATATATATAATAAGAATTAACATTTACCATAAATAGTAGTAAGGAAAAGTCAACCACATTTATTATATACTATTTTCAGCAACTTTTACATTTTACATTTTAATTTTAATCCATTATCAAAAAATTGGATGGTTCCTAAATTAATGAGTTTTAAATGTACGATCATGTTTCAAAAATTATAAGTCATTTAAAATCGGAGGGTTCATAAATTAATGGTTACAAACTTTTCAAAGTTATAATCTTTAAGCCATCTTTTCTTTTTGACTTTTAATAATAAAATTATTTTAAATATATATATTCTAATCCAAAAATTCAATCATGTTAAATATATATATATATATATATATATTGAACGCTAAAAATATTTTTTAAATTGCATACTGAATCAATTAATCTTAATTTTTTTAAAATTACTATGTTTATTTTTTATTAATATGCATAAAATAAAAATAAATAGTTCATCTTTGGATATATAATTTACAATCTTAATATATTATCATTTGGTGTAGACATATGAATCATAAAATATTTTTATTTCATAAAATTAAATATTATATTTAAAGAAAATAAGGAAATTACTTTGGATCAATCGGGTGATTGAATTAGGGTACTGTCCACTTTGATTGAATTACTTTTAGGTGATATTTAAAATAGTCAAAAAAACTTGACATCACTTAGTTGGTCCGAGGTAATTAAGTTATGTATCAGTTTGACCAGACCAAATTGATTATTGAACCTAAATATAAATTTTAATATTGAAAATACTTTATTACGTGAATGTAATGTCGTCCAAACTTCAAATAATCATATTAACAATACTTTTATGACAACATGATTAATGATTTATGAATATTTATATATCATTTTATTATTATTTATGTGAACAAATTATTTATTTCATTATCATTTTTATTAATGTACGGTAAATATAAGGTTTTCAAAATCGCACCGTCTTGTGGTTGTTCAGATTTTAATACATAATACTTTAATATATATATATAGTACTCTTTGTAATAAATTTAAATAGAAAGTGTTACTTAAATATCTAAACAATTTATAAATTCAAATGTTTAAACTAATTGATAAACAATTTATAAATATCTATTTTATTTAAATATGTAATTTTATTTAAAATAATTTTTCATGTAACAAAATTTGTTTAGAAAATCGTATCGATCTTACCAGTCCAACATACTGGTGTTGGCGGATTTGATAGCAAATATTTTATTCAAGCGCACTAAATCGGTATAAACCGATTCTCGGTCCATCCGGTCGGACTGTATCCAACCCGGTTTAATTTATAAATATGGGTAAATTATGATTAATGTTATTTATTTATTTAATTTATAATACAATCAAAATATTATTTTCCCGTGCATCGCACGGGCCACGTACTAGTTTAATTTATACAAATCTACATGTTAATTTCTATGCTCCACAATGTCACTTTCGGGTGCTTTGGAGTAGTAACTTTTATTCATTCTTATAATCAAGTTTTTAAAATAATAAAGTATTTTGACCTATTTAAAATAAAAGTAAATGCATTACCTAACTTTAACCGTTTTTTCATTTGTTATCATTTTTCTTAAATATAATACTACATTATATTAATAATGTTCCTGTAATTTATGATTTGACATCTATATTAATTACATAATATAAAATAATACGTATGCATAATTTTTACTTCCTCCACTCCAAAAATAAATAAATAAATGAATAGAAATAAAATTACTCACAATCTTGGAGTTTTGCTATGGAGCCATCGGATGGCTCGACTTATGGAGCCATCCACACTTATTAACCAATAGTATATTGACACGTGTCCTGCAATAAATACATTTTGGACAAGTGTCAATACATTAATTGGTGGATGGCTCCATAAGAAAACCATCCGATGACTCCATAGAATTTTTGATTAACTAAAATCTTGAAAAAGAAAATAAAAAACAAGAAATCTAGCTAGTGTTCCCTTTCATTTAATATATATACTTTCCGAATTTATTCTTTTGCCTCATAAATTAAAATATACAAAATAAATACCTGCACAAATTGAGGACACATGACAGATAATTCACCGACCACACCACCTTCAACGTGGGCAGTTGAAATCCCAAAACCAGCCACACAAATGCACACGCCAACAAAAGTCCCAAGCCCTCCTTTACCGGACGAGACTAAGTCTATCTACCAAATTATACATTATACCAAAATAATATTTTTTGTTAATAAAATAAAATAAAATAAATTATTTAGTGTAACTCATAAAACTAATTATCGTAAAATATTTACGTAGGAAAATAGTAATAGTAGTAGTAGTAGCAATAGCAGTAATAATAATAAGATGATGATTATGATATATGCTGAACTCACCAGGAGTAGCCCAAATATGCTTAGAGTGAAAAGTACGTAACCGAACAAATTTCTCTTTCTCGTGTCTATTTTCGCCTCATTGTACGCTAGAACGGCCAATGTCCTGAGCGCGAATGGTTGAAAAACTAGCGGTAGTGCCCTTGCCGGATGGTAATACTGCAGAAAATTCAAATCAAATGCATTACATTGTGTTATATATAATTATATATATAACTTGTAAAAAATATTATGACGATTGTAACTTGTAAGCAGAATTCGAAATAGAGAGGTAAAGAAAAGGTGACGAGGGCAACAAGTTTGGCGGGAAGAAAGAATCTAAATAGTGTGTACGACTTTTGAAGTTGTGCAATGTAAGGGGTGGGCCTGTAAACGAGCCCAGTCGAGCTCAAGCTCGGCTCGTTTATCATTATTAACGAGCCGATCTCAAGCTTTAACGAGCCGAACTATAGAAAAATATAATATATAAAATTTTCTTTTTGAGCCTTAACGAGCTTTATCGAGCCGACTCAAGCCGAGCTCGGCTCGTTAAGGCCTCGAGCTCGAGTTGAGCCGAGCCAGACTCGTTTAATTTAACAACTCTAGTAAGGGAAAAGGTACAATTTTCTGACTCACCGGGTACAACTGATAGTAGTAGTCTCCAATTGTGAGGATGCTATTCCATGAGAGGGTGACTCCAAGCCTAAGAATTCAGGACACATAAAAGCAAGATCCCCGATTAGCCCACCCTGAACCAATGCATCCGCCACTCCAAAAGCCGCAACGAAAGCACAAATGCCGATATAATTTCCGATCCCTCCTTTTCCCGATGTGGCTAAATCTATCTAGTAAAGCAAACACAAAAATAGGATCAAATGTAGCCAAAAGTGATACGAAGAATTAAATAAAATATATATATATATAGAATGATTCAAGATGTGACTAGGATAAGTTATTAACCACTAAAAGTCCGAATGTGTTTATGCAGAAGAGGATGTATCCGAACAAGTTCCTCTTCCTTGTGTCGATTTTGGCCTCATAGTAAGCAAAAATTGCCATTGTTCCGAGCGCAAATGGTTGGTAAACAAGGGTAAGTACCCGGGAAGGATGGTATCTCTACAAAGAAAGTGAGAAAAATACATAAACATTAGGGTTATATTCTAAGAAACTCATCCGAGATAGATTTTTGTCGATAAAGAATACACGGGCACTATGCAATAAAACAAAAAATAAAAATAAAAATAAAAACTTTGAGGATGTGGAAAAAATATGCCTACTGGGAACAACTGATAGTAGTAATCTCCAATAGTTAGCATGCTATTCCATGCGACTAATGCTCCAAGTCCAAGAAACCAACACACTACAATTGCTTTAGTTTTACCCTGAAATTTAATAAATGGATAAAAAAAAAAATCACAACACACGAGCAAATTAGTTACTATCGAGCAACATGCAAAATACAAGAATACAAACAAACCTCAAGCCTGGTGCTGAGAGTTGATTTTATGCTCGAATCAGCTTTATCCATGGCTGCTCTTTTGCACAAACTGGAAATTGAGTATATTATCAGTGAACCATAAACATCTATCAAGGAAATAACACAACTACCGATTAAAGAAACAAACTTTATCTATTAAATAGCACACGGGTTGTTTTTGTTCTAAATGACAACACGAACCAATTGAAAAGTTAGTTCCTTTAACACATAAAGCAAATAGACCAGTAATGTAGATTCAAATTAGTTATATTGTCAATGAATTATATATATATATATATATATATATATATATATATCNATATATCTATCGACGAAATAACACGACTAATGGTTAAAGAAACAAATTTTTTTCTATCAAAAAACAAAATGGGTTGTTCTAAATGACAACACGAAACAATTGAAAAGTTCGTTCCTTTAGCACGTAAAGCAAATTGACCAAGAATGTAGATTAAAATTAGTTAATTTGTCAATGAAATATATATATATATATATATATCGATGAGATAACACAACTACTGGTTAAAGAAACAAATTTTTTTCCATCAAATAACAACATGGGGTGTTCTAAATGACAACACCAACCAATTGAGAAGCACGTTTGTTTAACACAAAAGGCCAAAATGTAGAATCAAATTAGTATATTGCCAATGGATTATAAACATCTATAAATACAATAAAAACAACTGCAGATTAAAGAAACGATTTTTTTTTCTTCTTTCTATCAAACAACACGTGGGGTGTTCTAACTTCTAAATAACAACATGAACCAATAGAAAAGTAAGTTCCTATAACACATAAAACCAAGAGACCAAGAATTTAGAATCAAATTAATGAAATAGAACAATACAGAGCAAATAATTACAGCAACAGCATTCATTTGTTCATATGAAAAAGGGAAAAAGGTACCAACTTTATTAGAACCCAGAAGATTGTAAACTCGTAGACAGATAAGTGTAATCATTCCGTGCAATGTACTACTTAAAATCTTTTTTTAAACTTTATTTAACAATATATTAGTCGGTGATCTATTTATGTTAATTAAATAATATTAGTACACATATATTTATTTTTGGATACAGAAAATATAATAATTTTATTTATTTTTGTTCATCATAATACTCAAATATTATATTATTCTAAAATTTATTATCATATAATGTAATTATTATTATCATTTATAACACTTCTAAAAGTATTATTCTTTTTTTATAATGTTAAATATTTAATGTACATTAATATTATTTATTGATGTAACTAATTTAAAAATATATAAATAAATTTGAAATAAATATTATGACATATATGCTCTCCATTTAATTTTTAAAATTTATTCTATATCACAAGAATTAAAAAATATCATATATATATATATATATATATATTATATGGCAATACAATATGGAAATATTAAATATATTAAGCCTAATGAGGAACTTGATAATTACAGAGTAATTATCTTCAAACTGTGAATTTTATGTACAAAAAGTGTTGTAGTTTGATAATTTTCGACAAACAATTGATTTTTCCAAAATTTCACAACCAACTAATTTTCGATAAAATTAACAAAATTTCAGATGATTGTGTAGTAGAATTTTCCAACATGCGAGTAATTAGATAGTATGTATATTGGTAAACTTTATGATATAAGATTTCTAATTTGATTATTGAATTTTATGATGAATTTGAGTTTGATTTTATTTTATTTTTGTAAATCAATCAAGCATTTACGATTGCTATTGTATAAAAAAATAATGAAAAAAATAAAAAAACATCATGGAGTCATAATGTAAGAAAAAAATCCAAAACCGTAATTAATTATTTATGGTATCAATAACAAAAAATTAATTATAATACACATTAAGCGATTTATATGCACATTCCATAAATAATTAGTAAGCATATTAAATAAATAATGCCAACAAAAATAGAAAAATAATAAAAATTTCAACTATTATAGTCATTACTGACATAATGGAACTGTAATTCCTATTTGGTAAACATGTGTCAAAGCCCAATTTCAACCAAACAACAAGCCCTACGTCAGAACGAGTTCCCGGCCTGGAGTAGGTTGTTAAATTAAGCTGAATCTTAGTTCTTGAAATTAACAACTCTGACTTGGAACATGAGTCAACTTCATATCTAAATGATATGAAGTTGACTTCATATGTTTATACGCATAAATTCATGGTCAACTTCATATCTAAATGATATGTTGATACTTATAAAACCATCACGAGCTCAGGTCTAACCGGTATGGGGCTTTGGTTGCTTTTTTAACCAACAAAAAAAGAGAGAGGACTCAACTAATGAAACTAGTTCAAGTGTTCCTCTTAATCAGTAGTTTATTAC